CGAGCACGAGGCCGGCCACGAGCGCGCCATAGTTCTCAATCATGTGGTGGAGCGAGCGGTTCGCGCGGTTGTAGGCGCCGACCGCGCCCGCGTCGTCAAAGACCACCGCGTTCGGCGCCGCGTCCTTGCCGAGCGCCTTGTAGATGAACGGGTTCGAGCGCAGGTTGCCAGAGTTGCCCTTCATGATCTGGCTCTTGTGCGCCATGGGGTACATGTTGACAAAGGCGATCGTGCGCCCCAGCACGACCACGGCCGCGCACGCCCAGTGCAAGTCGGTCGCGAGCAGCGCCTTGATGCGCTTGTCGTAGGCGCCCGTGGCCCCAAACGTGTAGATGGCATAGGCAATGCCGAGCCCGACCAGCAGCGGCGCAAAGGTGAAGGCCACGACGCGCACGTACTTGGGCTTGGCTTCGTCCGCGCTCATGATCGGCAGCCCGTTGTCGCCAATCTTGTGTCCGTCGTCCGAGCCCATGCTGTTCGTCTGCGGTCAAATTACCAAGTGGCCTCTGATTGGAGGATTCCGGCCAACGGATCTTTCGTGGCGTGCTGCTTCTAGAAGGTGCACCGCCAACGGGCTGATCTCAGACGCGCTCCGTTTCAATTTTTAGACTTTCAGATTTCTGGCGTTTCGTTTGTCAGATTTTAGCTCGACCGCGCGAGATTTGGAGGCAAGTCGCAGATGTGGCGAAAGCTTGGCGGGATATGGCTGCCGGAACCGGAGTGGACTCGTCTGCACCATGCTCCGTGTGGAGAAGACCGTTCGGTGAATGCATCCAGTACGCAGTGGCCGACAGCTGCGGTCGTCGGCGTCGTTCATGTCCCGACGCCTGGTTCGTGTTTCGGGTTTGAAACGCAGGTGCGTCCTCAGTAGTTGCTCAGTAGAACCAACTCTGCGCCATCGAACGTGGGTGCAACGACAGACTCCCGACAGCTTGTATTTGACCAGAGCTCGTCGTTCCTACGGGGGTCGTGTGAGCCCTTGTGATTCAGAACCATGCCAAAGGCGTGTGGCTTTTCTCCTCAAAGAGCTGGCTCCACCAAGCTACTAGTACGCTACAAATATCTGTGGCCACCCACCTCTCCGCGTGCCCGCAACTTTGCACCGGCCGAGCTCCATGCAGGATGTAGGATTTGAAGCACGCGCGCCCATAGCGTGAAGTAAGTGCATGGAAGCTGGGTGTCAATGAAGAGAGTCCTTCCTCCGCTTGCTCGCATCGTGCGTCGAGTTGGGCCCGACGCAGAAAGTTCTGATTGCATTTTGGCGCAAAAACCAAGTATACGAGTACTTGAATACTTCAATGCTTGCGAGGTTTCTTACGCTTGTAGATACGCTCGTGTCCTCAAGGAGGTGCGGTCGGAGGGGGCGAGTTGTCGGTACAAGTAGTAGCTTTGGCGAACCGACGCAGGGTCGCGATCCAAGTTCTTAGGTCGCGCTCTGATTGGCCAAAAATGCAGTGTAATAAAATGCGTGCGGATCGCACCCGCCAGTCAATACGGGAGCTTGGTTGCGTAATAAAATAAAATCCGAGAAATTCGGAGCCTCGGGCCATTGGTTGGTTATTCGAAAAAGACAGGATGAGCATGGAAGACATCGCTCGCGTCCACCGACGCCTGACCAAGTTCCTCCAGGGCGACGAAGGCAGCCAGAGCGCCGTCCTCGATGGGCTCGACCACCTCGACTCGATCGCCATGACGCTCAGCCTCCTAAAGGAGTCCAAGATCGGCCAAGCCATCGGCAAGCTGCGCAAGCACGACGACGCCAAGGTGGCCGAGAAGGCCAAGCACCTCGTCAAGAAGTGGAAGGCGCTCGCGCTCTCGCCGCGCACGAGCGCGACCGACGTGACCAAGGACGCGCCCAAGAAGACGACCGAGATGGCCGCCGTCGCCAAGAAGCTGGAGGCCAAGGTCGAGAAGACGGCCGAGAAGAAGCCGTCGGCCAACTTTTTGCCGTCCAACTTGAGCAACGTGCGTACGACCGTGCGTAAGAAGCTCAAGGAAGTGCTCGAGCTCGCGGACGAAGATCTGCGCTCGGAAGCCGAGTTTGCGGCCATGTCGATCGAGACGGCAATGGCCAAGCTCTACAAGATGGACAAGGGCTTGGAGCCCGCGGACATGAAGAAGGAATACACGAGCAAGTTTCGCCAGCTCTCGTTCAACCTCAAGAAGAACGAAATGCTGCGCGACGAGGTGCTCACGCTCACCGTGACGGCCGACCAGCTCGTGCTCATGACGCCGGACGAGCTCGCGACGCAGGAGCTCCGCCTCGAGAAGGACAAGTTCCGCGATGACGCGTTCCAGAGCTCGCGCCTCGACTGGGACGTGGCGAACGCCGACAAGATCAACAAGCAGTGCGGCATCACGGACGCGCGGGGCCTCTTTACGTGCGGCAAGTGCAAGTCTACCAACACGAGCAACACGCAAAAGCAGACGCGCAGTGCCGATGAACCCATGACGGTCTTTGTGCTCTGCCACGACTGCGGGAAGCGCTGGAAGTGCTAAGCCCTCCTATTTAGCCATCACATCCCTTCTTCGCTTCCTCCCTGATATTAGAATACAGTCGCTGGAAGGAAACTAATTATGTCGTTCTCCCATCCTCTCAATAGCGTTCTTCTCTCATGACACAGCTCGACACAGGGACAGCAAGGAGAAGCGTCGTTGTCGCAGCGCAGGCAAAGTCGCTACTAGTACGAGGAGGCGACCCAGGTGTATATGTACCAGTATCTGGATGCATCACAGCGCCACGGCACGAACTGGAATTTTGCCCGCAGCACGGGAATAAGGCTGTCGCAGCGCAGCGCTCGAGCCGCAGCATGTCCGCTGGGATTCTGTGCAGGCACCGTTCTCATCAGCTCACATCAAACCTTTGATATATAATATATCGACCATGCTTATATTTCTCCGATTTTATCCGGACAAACGCGCTCTAGACACGAGGGATGGGCGATGCATGCCGACTTTGAAGAAAAAATGAAAGTCTCTCGCTTCGATACCATCGTATTGTACATCGTTCGGGAGTCCAAATACCTAACTATGGTGGTCATTATGTCTATGTAGCGTGCAATAATCGACATGCTAGTAGTTGATACATACTTGATATTGTATCGACTTTGTATCGAAACATGTGTTGTATCAAGTATGTATCAACTACTAGCATGTCGATTATTGCACGC